ACGCAAAGGAAAATAGCTTTAGATACTTAAGTGACAATAGAATTTATTCTCATAATTGTTTTAATAGCTTTTGTATAATCCTCATCGCTATTATGAGATACAAAATGTATTTATCAAATCTGTAATCATTATGCCAAAAAATCTGAATTACTGTAATATTTTGCATATTGTTAAAACTGTAACTTTAATTGTAAAAAAAAATTAAAAAAAAAGAAGAAATTGAATTTAAAAAAAAAAAGAAAACCAAATGTGGTGGTGCACACCTATAGTTCCAGCACTTGGGAGGCAGAGGCAGGCCGATCTCTGTGAGTTCAAGGCCAGCCTGGTCTACATAGTGAGTTCCAGGACAGCTGGGGCTACAGGGAAACCCTGTCTCAAAAAGACAAAAAAATAAAAAAGAAAGAAATGATCTTCCCCTTCAGCCTTTCTGGTGGGTAGCTGAGGCTACAGGTGTGTGATATTTCACTCAGCTCAGGGCTTTATCATACCCTCATGCTGATCCAGTTGTTGCTGATTAGCTATAGAAGACTCTTTGAATTCCAGTAATTGATTGAGGATTCTGGCAGTCAGAAGTCGCTTGGTTCTCAGTGTAGTTGTTTTTATCCACCAACCCATGAACTGCTGCTTATTAAGCTATCTATATGTTACTCCTTTCATTAAACAGAGAGATTAGTAACTAGGTGTTAGGGAAAGATGCTGCTAAAATATTGCCACAAACTGAAACTTTCTCCTCAATGCAACAAAGGGATTGACCATCTATTAAAGAGAGAAAATATTGAGAAAAATCAGGTATTTTTCTTCCTTAGCTGATTACTGGTGGGTTTCTTTCTAATTTGAGTGGTTTTTAGTTCATTCTCTATGAATGAGGAGGGTATTCTTGATGAGTCAGTAACATCGACTACATGCAGTGAACATTAGCTTTGGAAATTAGGTCAAAGGCTGTTTTATGTCTATAGAGGAAGCCTACCACCTGCTTATACAAACTAGGTCCTGAGCAAATTTTAACATAACTGAATTGCACTGAAGCCTGTTCTTAGTCCTAAAAAGCATGTGCCTATCTCTCTCAGTGCCTTTCTGTTTCTCCATTCTTCCTCCCCTCCTATTCTCTCATTTATTTAGTCTAAACGGTATTCTTTAATGAAACCTCTGTATGACTGAGATTTCTAATTCCTTTGAAGAGTCTGTTAATGCTTTCCTCTTGGTGGAAGGAAATTAAGAAGCCTGGGAGGTCAGGCCATAAATGACACTTGGCTGTAATCTTAGCCTTCAGGTTCTACTTCTGTAAGTGGAAGAATTGAATGATGTATTCCTAGTATCTTTCAGCCCTCACTACTGTCTGGAATGTCTTCATCCCCCTTTCATTGGAGACTAGCATGCCGATCTCCACATTGTGCCTCAGTTGACCTGCTGAGCTGCTTCAGGTTGCCCTGAGCTTCATTGTTCAGAATTCAGTGGTCTCACCAGTCATGCCTTCAGGTATGTGCCTGTTGCCACTGCTTTGGCTTTCAGAGGCTGAGTTCTAGGTGAGCAGACAAAATGAAGCTACTGCATAGCTTCATTGTGAACCATTTAAACAAGAAAGTGATTCTGAAGACTTACAATATGAATATATATTTTAATTTTGCCAATAAATAAGCTTGACTGTAAGAATGAATTCTTTTTGGAAGGAAAAAGAAAGTTATGGGTTTCTCTTCTCAGTTCCTTACAAAAGTTTTTAAGGAACTGGCCCCAAGGTTAGCCAGTTAGTCAATTCATAATTACTTTGTACTTAATAGAGGCAGATGGATACTTGCTGTCTGCTGTGACCTACAACTCAGGAAGTGATACAAGAAAATGTCTTAGGACCCAGAGAAGCTTGGGTTGACTGTGGATTAAGAGGAGAAGGAGAGTCATATGATTGAAAGATGAATCACTTGGTTAGCATTTCCCCTTTGAATTGCCGGGTTAGGGACTGGGAAGAATGAGATAATCGTAAAACAAACCCAGAGGGCCTAGTGGCTTGTGGAAGAAAGGAGGGAGGGCCATGGTTTATAGGCATCTGTATTTCCAAAGACCTTTGAGGATTATGTTACTGTACACTGGAGAAGATGAATTCCTGATCCTTTAGGTCTATCAGAAGTTATTTGGTTTTCTTAAACTTTAAAAAAAATTTTTTTAAAATTTTATTTTATGTGTATGTGTATATTGCTTGCAGCCATGTTGTGCAATGCCTACGGAAGACAGAACAGGCTGTTGGATCCCCTGGAACTGGAGTTATAAACAGCTGTTAGCTGCCATGTGGGTGCTGGGATTCGAACCCAGGTCTTCTGCAAGAACAGTCAGTGTTCTTAGCTGCTGAGCCATCTCTCCAGCCCCTGATTTTCTTAAACTTTAAAAAAAAGTTTTTAAATTTATTTTTGTTTTATGTGTATGAGTGTTATGACTGCATGTATGTAAGTGCACCTATATTTTGCAGTGCCCGAGGAGGCCAGAAGAGGGTGTTGAATCCCCTGGAACTGGAGTTACAGCCCGTTGTTAGCTGCCACGTGGGTGCTGGGATTCGAACCCAGGCCCTCTGCAAGAACAGCAGTTCTCTTGACCTCGGAGCCATCTGTCCAGCCCCTTTTTTTAAAAAAAAAATTTTTATTTTTTATTTTTATTTTATGTGTATATGTGTATTGCCTGCATGTAAGTAAGTGCACCCGTGTCATGCAATACCTGCAGAGGACAGAAGAGACTGTCGGATCTCCTGGAACTGGAGTTATGGATAGTTGTTAGCTGCCATGTGGGTGCTGAGATTAAAACCTGGGTCTTTTGCAAGAGCAGTCAGTGTTCTTAACTGCTGGGCCATCTCTCTAGCCCCTTTCTTAAACTTTTTATTTCAAAGTTTTGTTAACATCTCTGAGATGGGATAATAAGTCTGATAGAGGAAATCCATCATTTATAACAGATTTTCTAACCCTGTTCAATAATACTTTATGTCCTTTCAATTCGTTTTTGGGTTTTTTTGTTTGTTTGTTTTTTTGTCTTTTTGAGACAGGGTCTCCCTGTAGCCCCAGCTGTCCTGGAACTCACTACGTAGACCAGGCTGGCCTTGAACTCACAGAGATCTGCCTGCCTCTGCCTCCCGAGTGCTGGGATTAAAGGCGTGCACCACCACGCCCAACAAATTAGTTATTTTTAAATCTTATTTATTTTTATTTTATATGTATGAGTGTATTGACTGCATGTATGTAAGTGCACCCGAGTTGTACAGTGCCAGCAGAAGCCAGAAGAGGGTGTCGGATCCCCTGAAATTGGGATTAAGAACAGTTGTTAGTCTCCATGTGGGTGCTGGGAATTGAACCCAGGTCCACTGCAAGAGCTCTCAACTGCTGAGCCATCTCTCCAACCCTAAAAATAATTTTTTTGGTCCTTTTTTTTTTTTTTTTTGGTCTTTTTGAGAGAGGGTCTTCCTGTAGCCTGCAGCTGACCTGGATGATCTTTTATTTTTTTGGTCTTTTTGAGACAGGGTCTTCTTGTAGCCCCAGCTGTCCTGGAATTCACTATATAGACCAGGCTGGCCTTGGTCTCAGAGATTTGCGTGCCTCTGCCTCCTGAGTGCTGGTATTAAAGGCATGTACCACCATGCCTGGTTAAAAATAATTTTTTAAAATTTATTTTAATTTTATGTGCATGTGTGTAAGAGCACTTGTGTCGTGCAATCCCTGCAGAGGTCAGAGGAGGGTGTTGAAGCCCCTGGAACTGGAGTTATGGATGGTTATTAGCCTTCCTGTGGGTGCTGGGAATTGAACCCAGGTCCTCTGCAAGAGCAGTCTGTGCTCTTAACCGCTGAGCCATCTGTCTCTAGCCTCCTCCGTTTTTCTTTTTTGTTTTTGGTGTTTTTGAGATAGGGTCTCCCTGTAGCCCCAGCTGGCCTAGAACTCACTATGTAGACCAGTCTGGCCTCAAACTCACTGCCTTTGTCTCCCAACTCACTGCCTTTGTCTCCCAAGTGCTGGGATTAACGGCGTGCACCACCACGCCCAGCTTGCCTCCTCCTTTTTCAATCTTAAAAAAATTTTTTTTGTGTATATATGCATATGTGTGAGTGGGTACATGCATATGTGAATATGTGGAGGTCAAAAGAGGGCGCTGAGTGTCCTCTTCTATCACTCAACATCTTTTCCTTTGAGACAGGGGCCTCTCCCTGAACCTGGATTAGATTTTTTCCAGTCCTGAATCTTTATATAATTGATAAGAACAGCCGTATATACACATCTGGGAAGGTGAAGTTTGATGGTATTAAATTTCTGACATACCATATAAAGAAAAGTCATAGGATAAATGGAATATGGACGCATACAGTGAGAGATAACATATAATCCATGATAAATTAATGCTTCATGTTTTGGGAAAAGATTAATTCAGAGCCTTTGATGTATCTAGTATGTTATATCCTTTACTAGAGGACAGAGGCAGCACTGTATTGGCACAGGAGTGTTGCTTATAATTCAAGATGTGTCACCAAGTTGACTTCTGAATCTTGCTCCTAGAAATATGCAAACTCCACATTGTTTGTGGAAACACAAAGAGTTCCATGAGAGAAGAGAGGTGGGGAAAGAGGAATGAAACAAGGAAGAATGAGGAGTCTTGGCATCTTCTTTGCCAACGAGACGTCTCTTTCTAGCAGCCTGTCTCGATTACACACAAGCTGGCATCTTGCCAGCTGGGGAGCAGCCTTTGTGGGTAGGAGTTGTCTCTGCTTGTGCTTTCTCATTTCCTTTTAGATTTCTGATGACTTGGTCTGTGACTGCTTTAATCAACTTTGTGTGTTGCTGAGGATTGAACCTTGGGCCTCACAAACGCTATGAGTATGTGAGCTATCCTCCTAGCTCCTTAATCACCTTCACTGTCCTCTTTTTCTTTTGTTTGTGTAGAAGATTGTTGCTGTCTTCAAACCCAAGAATGAAGAGCCATATGGGCACCTTAATCCTAAGTGGACCAAGTGGCTACAGAAGTTGTGTTGTCCATGCTGTTTTGGCCGTGACTGCCTTGTCCTCAACCAGGGCTATCTCTCAGAGGCAGGGGCCAGCCTGGTGGACCAAAAACTGGAACTCAACATTGTGCCCCGCACAAAGGTCGGTGATCATTTTTAAGGAGCCTTAGTACTTTGCTAACGTTTTACTGGGATCTAAACTCTGTTAGTAGGACAGAGGAGGGCCCAGGGAAGCTTGTTTAAGTTGTGATGCTTAACCTTTTGGATTTTGGGTGATAGAATTAGGCTCCATGGTTTGATCATCTGATGAAATATATTTTCAGAAGGACACATACAGATTTTACATAAAATCCCAGGTTTCACAGATGCCTCCTGTATTTTATAGGGTTCCTTGGTCTTTGGACCTCAAGCAGTAACAAGCTGGTAAGTAACCTAGCTCTTTTTAACTCATTTTCATAGGCTTCTGATCCAAGATTCAGGTACACATTTTCTTTGTTTCCCTTCCTCCATTTCTTTCTTTCTTGTTTGTTTATTTGTTTTGTTTTGTTTTTTGAGAAGGGTCTCCCTATAGCCCCAGCTGGCCTGGAACTCGCTAAGTAGACCAGGCGGGCCAAGATCTCACAGATATCTGTCTGTCTCTGCCTCCTGAGTGCTGGGATTAAAGGCATGTACCACTATGCCCAGCTCCCTTTTCTTTTTTAATAAAAGTTTAAAAAAATTTTTGTAGATCTGCATGTGTCTACATGTGTTTTATGTGTTCGAGGATGGCCTGTGGAGGCCAGAAGATGGCAGATCCCCTGGAGCTAGAGTTATACAGGTGGTTGTCAGCCACTGATGTGGGCGCTAGGAACTGATCCACTCCTCTGTAAGAGCAGTAAGTGCTCTTAACCACTGAGCCATGTCTCCAGCCCTTCTTTCTTTTTAAGAGATAGGGTTTTGTTATATTGCCCAAGTAGCCTCTGAGTTCCTGTCCTCAAGTGGTCCTCCTGTCTCAGCTTCCCAAATACCTGAGTCGACAGTTGTGTGCCACCATGCCTGGGTTTAGATATAGACTAGCTGGTGTCAGCTAAAGTGTGTATGCAAGATTTGGTAAAGTAGACTTTGGTTGGACTGAGGGATAGAGTAAAATGTCTGTCCCAAATCCCTACATAGGACTGATATGGTTTTCCCTCACCTACCTTCATGCTGTGAAATTCTGGGACTTGTCTGAGCATTTCAGAATAGAGACCCTGGCTTAGGGGTGTAGCTCAGAGCTAGAACACTTGACTAGCACATGTAAGGCCCTGATTTCAGTCCCTTTCCCTTATTAAAAAATAGCTAAATACCAGGGCCACAGAGATGGCTCAGCCATTAAAAGCACTGACTGCTCTTGCAGAGGACCTGGGTCCAATTCCCAGCACCCACATGCCAGTTCCAGGGGATCCAAACACCCTCTTCTGACCTCAATGGGCTTTACATGACATGGGTGAACTTATATATATGCAGGCAATACACTTATACATATAAAACAAAAATAATAAAAAAATATTTCTATAGGTATAATTTTAATTTTTTCTATAATTTCACTTTATTTTTTATTTTTTAATTTTTATTTTTTTGGACTTCTTGAAACAGGGTCTCCCTGTTCAGACTGGCCTTGAACTCACAAAGATCCACCTGCCTCTGCCTCCCAAGTGCTGGGACTACAGGCATGTGCCACCATGCCCAGCCTCATAATTTTACTTTAAACAGTGTGTTGTATCCAAGAAGATACTGCTGAAACAATATTAATGATAACGATAATAATAATAATAATAAAACAGTCCCAAATTCACAAAGAAAAAAACCCATTTCATTTACTATAGTATTTTGCACATCCTCAAAGATCAGCAGATAGAGAATGTAAGGAATCCCATAAAGAACAAAAGCAACTAGAAAGTATGTGGGTTAATGCTTAAATCTTTGATTGAAAGTCATTCATACCTTTATTACAGTTGTTGAGAAGGCCAAAATGATAGCACATGTGTTTGCCATCTATTTGATTTCCACCTGCCATATTCTTCAAGTTAGGGAACATCACAAAAATCTTATCAGCTGTCATTTAGTTGTAGTCACTTATCAGTATTCCTTATAACATGACTACAACACTTTTAGGGCATATTATGAAAGCAACAATATTGGTTTAGTGTCTCCAATTTTTTTTTTTAGTCTTTTTGAGACAGGATCTCCCTATAGCCCCCCAACTGGCCTAGGACTCACTATGTAGGCTAGGCTAGCTTTGAACTCACAAAGATCCACCTCTGCCTCCTGACTGTTGAGATTAAAGTCATGTGCCACCACACCCGGCCAAGTATCTCCCAGTTTTTTTAAAAAGTTTTTGCTTTACTGTGACAATAAATTTTTTTTAAAAAAAATGCGTAAATATTGACTTGATTTCATCCCACTTCAGGGAGTTTACTGGCACCAGTTTAAGAGCCCTATGCTATAAGGTACTCCATGAAACTCTTAAATTATGAGGTGAAGGAATATGCTGCTTAATATACAAACACTTGGGATACATCATTACCCTCTGAACTGTAGCAGCAAGTGGAGCTGTGGTCCAATGCCCTAAGGCTACAGAAGCATCTTCATAACTCTGGGTCTTAACTTTCTCTGAGAATCTGATGAAAAATTAAGGTTTTGTTCCTTGGTCCCCCCCCCCATACAAATTTTGCAATCAGTATTCAGGAGGAGCGTTTATAAACTAGTTGAAGTGCATCTTTGTTCTTCCTTGGACGGTACCTCTAGATTAACATTTCTTCACAGGAGTTTTGAAGGCAAGCTCTGTCAGCTATGAAAGGAGACAGGAACTTCTTTTCAAATCTGTCTTTTTGGGGGGATATTTAGAAGTAAATTTGGTTATTGTGGATATTTAACAATTTTTGCTGCTAAACTCTAGATAGTAACCCAACTAGTTTGTAAATTTCTAGAAATCATTCTTGAAGTATCTTTCTCCCATTCTTAGCACCCAACCAAGTATTAGATTTATAATAAATATTAATTACCTGCTGACTTGGAGAGTATCAAATCCTGAAAAACCATGCCCAACTTCAGGTCTCTGTGAATGTCTGGCCAGGCTTATGTTCCCATCTGGCACCTAATTTGTTACCTGGTTTGTGCAGCTCATTCTTCCCTTTATAATTTGATTTTCTCTCTCTGTGATACATAGTATTCTTTGACTATTTTGTGTGATAATTAATGCTCTAGAGTCTGGTACTTAACCTGAAATTCTCCTACTACGGCTCCTCCTGGACTCTAGAAGTTCTTTGAAGTACTCCTTATTCATCATTCTGTAATTGCCTTTCTTTGCCACGCCCCTATCCTTGCCTGCTCTGTTTGTACTTCTGGGGTCCAGCGCCCAAGGGTTTGAGGCTTGGAATTCTACCCTGTAGCTTTCTCTCTTGTTGGAGATAGTCTTGCTGGATTGCCCAGACTGGCCTTAAACTTACAGTCCTGCTTTAGCCACCTGAGTGCTGGAATCCTAGCACTGGCCTCTGTAGCTTTTTATTTATGTGACCCATGGGCAAATCGGTTAATCTTCCTAGTGCATGTATAGTTTCCTCTCTTTGAAAATAGGATAGAAATAGTTATTACTTAGTAGAGCAAGGCTGTACAAGATAATCCATGTAAAACACATAACCTAGTACCTGGCATAGTGCAACACCTGTAGGTCTTGTGGTGTTTTTATGAACTATTCAAATCAGTGTCACCCCCACAACTCCATTTTTCCCATCTCTAGTATTCCTCTTTCCTTGTTAGAGACTGTTAATAAGTCCTGAGGATCTTTGCATCAGAAAGTCAGTAGCAGCAAAAACACTTGTCTTCCATGAGGCTGAGATGAGACAGAACTTTGCAAGTTTAAATTCAGCTGCTGGAGAATATTCTAAGAGGAATCTCTCCCTTCCCTGCCTGCCCTACCCTTGTGACAGGATTCTATTCAGTTAATTGGAGCATCTGTCACTATGGAAACGGGGCTCACACTGTGATGGTGCTTCAAATAGTAAGGTTCTAATTTTCGCTTACTGGCTGTTTCTGCTCTTTATTCCTGTGAGGTTTCAGGTGGTGAGAGTTCATTAGTCATAAGGGGAAGAATGGTGATTGCAAATAAATCTGATAGCAGAGAAAAGATACTTTATAGCTTGAGAGTGTCGGGCTTATCATAGTAGAAGCTAGTAAATAGCCTTAGGAAAGCCCTTTTCTTTTTCTCTTTACATTTATTTATTTATTGTGGGTAGAAGGGGAGCATACATGCCAAGGCACATGTGCAGAAATCCTATTTTAGGAGTTCTTTCACAGTGTTGGTTCTGGGCAGCAAACTTGGGTTGTCAGGCTTGGCGGCAAGCACCCTTACAAACTGAGCTATAACGCTCAGTTATGGTCCCTCCTTTTTCTTTTCTTCTTTGCTCTCTTTCCCCTCCATCCCTTCCTTTTTTTAAAAAAAATGAATGTTCAGCTTTAAAATATATATATTATTTTTATATGTATGAGTATATTGCCTGCACATATGTAAGTGAACCCATGTCATGCAATGCCACAGAAGTCAGAAGAGGGCATCGGATTTCCCTGGAACTGGAGTCAAGGACGGTTCATAGCCACCATGTGGGAGCTGGGAATTGAACCCGGGTCCTCTGCAAGAGCAGTCTGTGCTCTTAACCACTGAGCCATCTCTCCAGTCCCCCCTTTTCTTTTTCCCTTTCTTTTTCTTCTCTCCACATCTCTTTCCCTTTCCCATTTGATACCAGGCTTTATCCTGTAGCCCAGGCTGGCCTCCTGAAACTCACTGAGTAGACTGGCTTCACTTGGATCCTGCCTGTGCCTTCCAAGTGTTGAGATCACAGACATGCATTACCGTGCTCAAGTCACTCATCACAAAGGATCCAAGGTGTGCCTCTGCTGTCTAAAAGCCTTTCATTTCCAGCTACACAGATTGGAAAATATGAACTAAGGATTCTGGGATATTCTAGAGGCCAGGCCCAGAAGTGATGTACATACATTATTTTATCAACATTCCATTATCCAAAACTAGCCACCTTTACTACCCTGGGTCTTAGAAATGCTTTCTCTCTTATCTGGAAGAGAAACACTATTACTGAGCGTCTAGCTGTTCTCTGCCATACTGGTATGGTTCCTTAAACTTAACTCTAATCTGAATGTCTCTTCTCTTTCCTGTGTAGGTAGTATACCTGGCCAGTGAAACCTTCAACTATAGTGCCATCGACCGAGTGAAGTCCAGGGGCAAGCGACTTGCACTAGAGAAAGTACCAAAAGTTGGGCAGCGGTTTAACCGCATCGGATTACCACCAAAGGTATAGGCTGTACCTATGGTGGCTTAACAAAGTTGTTGGTTTATGGTGGCATAATCATTCAAGTACTACCTAGAGACTTGAATGTGGGATTGTGAATAGCCTGCCCTGAGGCTCCTTGTCTTCCTCATTTCTGTCAAAAGTCTCAGGTTTGGGGAATAATCCTCCAGGGAATATATAGACCTAACACTCCTCACTTGATTCCTCTAGACCATTTGGGTAGGCTTTGTCAATGCATGTCTGTTGGATGGATGAATCTCTCTCACACCCCCTTCTTCTAAAGAAATGAAGGCATGAAGCTTTTGGAAATGTTCCCCTTTTCTGATATGAACTCCGAAGGGCCTTTGTGGGTCCCTGGCCTACCCCTGGAATTTTTAGACTTTGACTACACAGACATGCTCATTTGTTCCTCTTGGTTACAGGTTGGTTCATTCCAGCTCTTTGTTGAAGGCTACAAAGATGCAGATTATTGGCTGCGACGCTTTGAAGCAGAACCTCTCCCTGAGAACACCAACAGGCAACTACTGCTGCAGTTTGAGCGGTTGGTGGTCCTGGACTACATCATTCGTAACACTGGTGAGCAGCCAGGGGTGGGTCAGTGCCTTGTGTCAGACTTCTGAGGTGTGGGGCAGGCCTGAAGGCATGCAGGGATTGGAGTCAGTGCTTTGTAAGGAAGAGGGTTTTTCATGCACAATTTAGGGAGAGTCTGGGAGACTGCTTTTCCTGGTTTACAGCCTGTGCAGTTGCTAGAGGTCGTGAGGCCTGGAACCAGTATCTCAGCCTTTTGCCTGGTCTTAGGCAGAAAATACCTGGCTCTTCCAGAACACTATGAGAAATATACTTATCCTTGTCCCTGGTCATTCTCAGAACATCAAGAACTGTCACAGGGCAATATATTTTTCTCACTTCTTTAGATAGATGCTTAGATCACTGATACTTTCTAAATATTCTGGTGAGGGGCTGGAGAGTTGGCTCAGTGGTTAAGAGCACTGACTGCTCTTGCAGAGGACCCGAGTTTGATTCCCAACACCCACATGGTGGCTACGAACCATCTTTTAACTCCATCTCCAGGGAAATTCGAAGCCCTCTTCTGACATCTGCAACATTGCATGACACGGGTGCATTCACATACATACAGGCAATACACTCATACACATAAAATAAAAGTAATAAATAAAATATTAAAAAATATTCTGGTGAACTTGAATTCATCTGACCTGACAAAATCTACATGTATGGAAGACAAAAGTCTTTAAATTCATGCCTTATTGGAAGGAAATTGTTGATTATGGAATCTATGTCTTTACTAGTATAAGAAGAGCAGCTGGTACTCTTAACTGTTGAGCCATTTCTCCAGCTCCTTTTTTTTTGAGACAAGGTCTGCTTGTAGCCCCAGCTGCCCTGGAACTCACTATGTAGAACAGACTGGCCTTGAACTCACAGAGATCTGCCTGGCTCAGTTTGTTCTTTGATGTATAAAATTAAATTGTTGATTTGTGAGCTTTCTCATTTTGCAATGCAAGCATTTATAGCTATAAAATTGCCACTAAACATTGCTTCTGCAATGTCCTGTACAATTAAGTATGGTTTCTATTTGTCTCTAAGTATTTCATAGTTTCCCTTGTGATTTCTTTTTTTTAATATTTTATTTATTTTTATTTTATGTATATGAGTGTATTGCCTGCATGTATGTAAGTGCACCCATGTTGTGCAATGCCCACAGAAGACTGAAGAGGCTGTTGGATCCCCTGGACCTGGAGTTACAGACAGTTGTTAGCTGCCATGTGGGTACTGAGATTTGAACCCGGGTCTTCTGCAAGAAGAACCAGTGTTCCTAACTGCTGAGCCACCTCTCCCGCCCATGATTTCTTTTATCTGTTGATTTAAGAGTGTGTTGTGGGGCTGGAGCACTGGTTAGGAGCACTGCCTGCTCTTACCTAAGACCCAGGTTGGGTTCCTAGCACCCACGTGGCGGCTCGCAACCATCCATAACTCCAGTTCCAGGGGATCTGATGCTCTCTCTGACTTCTGTAGGCATTGCATGATACAGGGCCTCTTACATACATGTTGGCAATACACTCATACACATAAAAGTAATAAATAAAATATTAAAAAATATTCTGGTGAATAAAATAAAATTAAAAACAATTTAAAGTGTCATTTTCACAAATTTGTGAATTTTCTAGTTTTTCTTTTCTTTCTAATTTTTTTTTTTTGAGACAGGGTTACACATGTAGACTAGGCTGTTCTAGAATTCACTGAGCAGCTCAGACTAACTTAGAACTCATAGCAGTTCTCCTGCCTTAGCTTCCCAAGTGTTGGGTATAGGCATGAGCTAGTATGCCCAACTGCCACTATTCCTTTTACTACTGATTACTAACTTTATTCCATAATCCTCCCTTAATCATAGTTTTACTTTCTATGGTTTATGTTACCCATGACTAACTATGGTCTGAAATTATTAAATGGAAAGATCCAGAAATAAATAATTCATGAGTTTCATGTAACTTTGTATTTTTATTCTGTTCTGAGGAGAATAAAATTACTTGCTGTCTCACCCAGGACTTGAATCATCCCTTTGTCCAGCCTATCTACAGTGTAAAACTGTTAATCACTTGTAGTGATGTCTTGGCTATCGCACCAGCTATTGCTGTATTATACTTATGTTCAAGAATCCCTGATTTTGCTGAATAGTGGACCCAAAACACAGGAGTATTACTACTAGCAACTGGGACATGTCAAAGAGAAGCTGTAAAATATTTCCTTTAAGTGAAAAGATGAAAATTTGTCAGAGTACGTGTATGTATGTGGGAAAACCTAGTGTGTAGGGGTTTGGCATTCTAGTTTCAGGTATCCACTGGGAATTTTTGGAACAAACCCCTTTGATGAAGGGGGGAACCATTGTACTTTGTCTTAAAATCTAGTGATAGTGTGTGGTTCCATATCTGATCTGTCCTGGAAAATGTTTGTGTGCATGAGAAGAAAATGTGTGCTCTTGTTGAGAGATGCGCTCTGTATGTTCATGTCTTAGACTTTGTCTAACAGGGGTAGACTCTCCTAGACACAGTCTTTGAATAATAAAGTAAGAAAAACAAGCCAGGACACAAGTGATATGAGCAAACAGTGAAATCACAAAACGAGGCAAATCTCTGTTTAGTTATGTTAGGAATTTCTGATTTTTTTCTTTTTTGCTTGTTTTTGGTTTTGGTCTTTTTGAAACAGGGTCTCCCTGTAGCCCCAGCTGTCCTGGAACTCACTATGTAGACCAAGCTGGCCTTGAACTCACTGAGATCCGCCTGTCTCTGCCTCCCAAGTACTGGGATTAAAGACGTGTGTCACCACGCCTGGCAGAATTTGTGATGTTTTTAATGAAACCATTGTATGATGTCCTATAAAACACCATGTAATGGCAGCTAACAACTGTCTATAACCCCCATTCCAGGGAATCTAACACCCTCTTCTGACCTCCACGGGCACTGCATGACACGGGTGCACTTACATGCATGCAGGCAATACACTCATACACATAAAATAAAATAAAAATAATAACAAAAAAAAATTAAAAAAACACAAACACCTTGTAGAGCTGGGTCTGGTGGCACATGCCTTCAATCCCAGCACTTGGGAGGCAGAGCCAGGTGGATCTTGTGAGTTCAAGGCCAGCCTGGTCTACATAGTGAGTTCCAGGCCAGCTGGGGCTACAGGGAGACCCTGTCTCAAAAAGACAAAACAAAACAGAAAAACATCATGTAAACCAGGCATGGTGGCATATGCCTTTAATCCCAGCTCCCAGCACTTGAGAGGCAGAAGCAGGTGGATTGTTCTGTGATCCAGGCCAGCCTGGTCTGCATAGCGAGTTCTAGGCCAGCTGGGACTACAGCGAGACCCTGTCTCAAAAAAAGAAAAAATTAATAAGAAAAAGAAAAAAACAAAACCGAAAATCTAGTTACCTCACAAAAGAAGTGTTTTGTTTTTTGAGACAAGATCTCACTTTGCCTGTCTCTGTCTCCCAAGTGCTGAGATTAAAATACTTGTGCCACTACAGACCTGGCAAAAGTGATTTCTTTTTTTTAAAAATTTTATTTATTATTTTTTTTCATTTTTTGGTTGTTAGCCTTAGCCTTTAACAGCTGTGCTATCCTTCCAGCCTGATTT